ATGAACAGAGTAAATTTACTAGTTCATTAGCTAGCGTAACTATTTTTCACATTGCTTTTATTTTTGATCATGAACAGAGTAAATTTACTAGTTCATTAGCTAGCGTAACTATTTTTCACATTGCTTTTATTTTTGATCATGAACAGAGTAAATTTACTAGTTCATTAGCTAGCGTAAGTATTTTTCACATTGCTTTTATTTTTGATCATGAACAAAGTAAATTTACTAGTTCATTAGCTAGCGTAACTATTTTTCACATTGCTTTTATTTTTGATCATTAACAGAGTAAATTTACTAGTTCATTAGCTAGCGTAACTATTTTTCACATTGCTTTTATTGTTGATCATGAACAGAGTAAATTTACTAGTTCATTAGCTAGCGTGTGCCTTAAGTTACATGACTTGTTATTTGTTTAGCTTGGTGATTGTGTTCTAATTTGTTTTAGCTTGATTCGAGAACTTGTAGGTGATTGTTTACTCCTGACAAAGCTGTAATAGCGAAATATTGAGGAATAAAACTATATTCTGGAGATAAAGGTCGGAGTTTATTTGCATTAATAAATGTGCCAATTATATTCTGTATTTTTTCTAATGCTAACATAAAACTCTAGAAATGGTAATGGTATCATGTAGGTGTGATAAATATGTGTGTGGACCAAGTGTTACCCAATAGCTAGTTTGTCAGACTGTGCATCTGTAGTTTGATTGTGAGCATCCCAAAAACACCAGAAAAAAAGTGCACTCTGCACTTTACAGCTGTGGATGCCTTTTAAGGGTGATTGTTAGAATCTACTATCTGATCAGGCAAGAGTAGCCAAAGAGTTGGTGGTAGGTGCTGTTGACTAACTGTCTTTTTCTAGTCTGTTAGATCAAAATTATTGGGGATAGCCCTTGAAGACTGTAGCTTTGTACAAATATCACTAAACAAACACAACTGTGTGAGTGTTCAAAGAAACACTTATTTGGTTTCCATTAGTGATCATGCTTGACTTAGATTAAGTTCTAGGAATGATAAAATTAAAAGCCTTTGTTCCCATATAATTATTTGTAATTTGTGTTTTTTAATTTTTAGTGCCTCACTTTGTTTATTACCATATCTTTGCATATGTTATACTAGTTAAAGGAGTGTTAATCCATGTGATCCTAATTTGGTATCTTATTCTTCCTGTATTCACCGAGTTGCACATTTAAGTGTTTTATTTGTTTACTATGCCGTTTTTGCACATACTGTATTATGCTTTCGATTTTGTTACTGAAGATAATTTTTAAGTTTTTTGACTTATAGATCGCACATTTGAAAATGGCTGTTCGTGAAGAATTTGTTATCACACACAACTTGTATTATAAAGTATATATATATATATATAATTTAAAGTACAGTTTAGTTAGTGAATTGAATACATTCCAGATATTATTGGAGTCTCAGCAGGAAACTGTTTGATAGTATAGCAAACTTAACTGTGTTATAAGTTGTTTGAGAGCAAATATCTAACACCTACAGGTAGGATCATTGTTGCTGCAATGAAATATTTCTCACTGATAACACTCGGTAATCCACCATTAATTAATTTTGTATTACTAGAAACAGGGAAGTTGCAAAAGTTTAAAATGCAGTTGTAGAAGACAAATTACTAGGTTTAAGTGAATTATTGATATTTAGAAACTAAGCAATGCATGTGTAAAACCTTGCATATAACTATATATTATATTGTTCAGAAACTGTGTACATGTACTGCTGTGATAATTAAGAATTTTTTTGTTTCATGCGTAATTGTCTGTATAATAAAAGTTTGAATACAGAAATTATTGGCCAAGTAATTTTCATATTTGCAGCATAAAAATTAGGGTATTATAAAATACAGGACTTGATCCACCAATCAACTGTTTCAGAAATAGTAGCCTGAATATTATAACTAAGTAGTTGTTTTAGGTCATTCCTTCACAATTCACCCAGTGAATGGTTCAACCCTACCACATTCAGTTAAAAAAATTTGGTACATGGTGTTTTTACAGGCACAAAAACAAACAAACAAAGTGTCAAGTGTGGCCTAGTAGTTAGTGTGCTGGAATGCTGATCCAAGGGTCCATGGTTTACTTCACATTGCAACAACAGTATTGAAAAAAAAAACATGTTCTTTGTTGTGGGTGTGTTATAATGTAATATAACATAATGTTTAGGACAACAATGGACCTATTGGTCCATCTAGGTTGTCCCATCCTCTAAACTAAACTAAATTTATTAAAGAAAAATAAGTAATAGAAAAACCCTCAAAGCCAGCTTTTATTCTTATAGCTATCAAGCTTTCTATTAAACTTGCATTAATTTACTGCCTCCAAAATATCTGAAGGCATCTGCTCCGAAGGTCAACCACCTTGTTAAAAAAATAAAACTGTCATAGCTGAAGATGACTCCTACCCTGCCATAATTTATATTTCTGTCCCTTAGTCCTACTATTCTCACAATTAAATATGAAAAAGATGATGCATCAACACTATCAATTCCCTAACAGTCTTAAACACCTCAATCAGATCTACTCTAACTCTTGTTTTTTCATGAGAAACCAATTTCAGATATCCTAAACCCTCCTGGTATGACAACTCTTCCATTCCAGGCACCATTCTAGCAACTCTCCTCTGAACCCTTTCCAACAATTCAATGTCCTTCCTAAGGTAAAGAAAAGACCCGAAGACTGAGCACAATACTCCAAATGTGGTCTAATGAGTGACCTATACAGTGAAATTATAACCTCTTCAGACTTGTATTTCACATTTCTGTAGATACAACCTAAAATTCTATTTGCCCTACTGCTTGGATGGTTTAAGTGACTGATCAACCATTACACCAAGATCCCTT